CTTTGTTATATTAGATTTAAATCTGTTCAGAATCTTCAATACTTATAAGAGTAGTGATACTATTGAACGTGAAGTTTCAATACTGATTCTATACTTCCTTTACAAGTTGAACTAGAAGCTAGTTTACACTTCTCACCACAGGCCGCTTGTATATATATATATATCAATTTTAGTTCTTCAAACTATCCCACTTCTTCCATTCTAAATAGTTCCTCGACTAATTCAATCAATAATTCTATGAGGTAAATTTGTCTTGACTTAGATTCATTTAATTATCATATAGATTCTGAAAATTTATATAAATTAAGAAATATTAATATTTTTACAAAAAATGGAATATTTAAAAAAAATATTCCTATGTAATAAATATTTTCTGGATATAACAAAATTATTTTGATCAGATCAGATTTTTTACATCTGTTCTCGTTTTAGATAAGACTTGAAATTCTTTTTCGATTACCTACGTGAATTCGTTGAATAACCTCTTATCTTTATTATTCTTTCAAAAAAAAAAAAAAGATTCTTCCATCCATGTTTTCAGAATATTTTTCTATAATTTCTTTTTCATGATATGAATTTTAATAAACTATTCATGATTGATAAAATTGCAAGACATTTTTTTTTTTAGAGAGAGAAGCAAAATTAAAGGGTTGAGTTTTTCTTTTCTGTCTGAACTTTTTTTTAACAATTTCATCTCATTGCACAATTTATTTATAAAAATTAAAAAATATTTTTTTTTCAAACTATATTGAATGTACGAAATTTATACTTTTTGTGCGGATAATTTTCGTGCATTGTAATATGTTGATAAACCATTGCCGAATTTCAAACCCAATTTTTTTTTTGCGCGTTATCGAACAAAAATTTAATAACAAATTTATAATAAGGTTTTAAATTTGGCTGGCCCAACATAATTATAAAAAAAATTATTTATTAACTGTGAAAAAAATTGTCTTGAAATATGCTTCATTATCTCTGTATTTGTATTGACAAATAAGAGATTCGTATATATAATTTCGTATAATGTGCCATACATCATTAACGTATAAACAGCATAAGTATTTAATTTTAATTTTTAATTTTGACTTAGAAAATTAAATAAATATATTTATATTAGGTATATTATAGTACATATGACAACACTTAACTTAAGATTTAAGACGACGTAAAAAAAAAAGAAAAATTGTAATATTTTTGTACTGTCAGATTTTTGAAAAATAAATGAAAATAATGAAGCTAATTTTGATTTGCGATATGTGTGTGTGTATATCTGTGTTTGTGTGGGAGTATGCGTGTGTCTGGTTTTTGGCTTTTGTATACACACTTGCAAAAAGGGTTCATTTTTGTCAATGGTCTTGTGAATTACCTTTCACATATACGAGAAATATATATATATTCAATAGTCGATCGAGATTCAAATGACATCATTCATATAACATGCCATCCTTTTTTTTTTCTAAAACTGATGTTTTTTTAATCCATTTCTTCTTTAATTTTTTTTTTCCACTCCTGCGCATCAACCACGCCTGTGTTGCTCTCACTAAAATAAAAGTATATATATAAATAATTATATATATATATAATCACACGCAACTGACAACACATTCTTTCTCTCTATTTCTTTCTCTATATTATCTGTTTCTCTTTATCTTTTTTCTCATGCGAGAATCTAACGAAAAAAACCTAACCAAATAATTCCTTTCTAACAAAAATGGTACTCTTAATATATATTTATATATAATCGTTCCCAATATTTGTGTATATAAAAGTGTACAAAGTTGACAGGGGCGTCGCTTATACCTTCATTCAGTCAATTTGAAAATTTGCATTTTTCATGTAAAAATTAAAGTTTTGGCTGTTTGAAAAATAAATATAATTTTGTAGTTTTTAATAATTATTTATTCAATAATAATAGAAAAATTTGTTGAATTAAAAAAAAAAATATATTTATTTCAGATAAAAAATTAGTCATACACATAAAGGTTCTTTTTTTTTTGGAAAATTCTGTGAAATTGTAAATAATTAAAAAGGAGCTAATAATTAATTTTTTCTAATAATTATAACATGAATTTTAATTTATATAAATTTGAAAAATTGTTTTTCACTTGAAGATGATGCCAACATTGGTATCGAAACGTTGTGTATGACAATTGTTTTTATGTGAAATAAATATATATTTATAATTCAGAAATTTTTTTAATTTGAATAATATCAATACTATTTGCATTGCTATTTTTGTGTACTATTTTTTATTAATAATAATTTATTGTTTTTTTGATAATTTATAATATTTAAATCAACATTTTATTATTATTATAATTATATTATTATTTTTAGTAATATGAGGAAGTAAATTGTAACTATTTGAAGTATAATTTTATTTTTGAATTTTTTTTTTTTAATTCGGATTCCCTGACGAAAATTTCGGTTTAAATTTCAATCAGTTGTAATAAATATTATTTCGAGACATTTTGAATTTAAATTTTAATGTAACTTAAATTATTCTTTCCGAATAAATTCATTTTATTCTGAAGCTAAATTTTAATTCTAAAGCTAAATTTATTTTATTTATCTAAGCTAAATTTTCAATTCTGTAATTTTTTCGAATTAATTCGTTTCGTTCAGAAATTAAATTTTAATCATTTTGAATCCTGAAATTTCATTCCGCATTAATTCTATTATTTGCTTGGAAACGGATTGTATCGAAATGAGATTTCATAATTTAAAAATTGAATTTTAGCTTCGGATTGATTCGGAATGAAATTTCAAAATTGGAAAAGATTAAAATTAATTTTTGGAATGATTCGGAAAGATCTAGAAAGAATTTTTTGTTTATTTACGTAAAATTTCAATTCACATAAAAACTGATTGGATTGGAAACAAATTTCTGAATGGAAAAAAAGAAAAAAAATGGAAAACAAAAATAAAGTAATTTTTACTACATTCAAAGTGAATCTTCTCTAGAATTTCTGTTAACTTTTGCTCCGGAAGTAAAAAAAAAATATATATTTCCGAAGTAAATTTTACTATTTCAAGAGGAATTTTTTCCTATTTCCGGAGCAAAAATTTGCCAGAGATGCACAGAAGTTTCGGACAATTTAGATTTTACTTTGTAAGAAGTAAAAAATACTTTATATCTTTTTCTATGTACCAAAATTAATTTTTTTTCAGTGTTTAGTTTTTGCAATTTTTTGAAATCTTCATTTCACTATAAAATATTTAATTTTTCACGACTCTAAAATCCACAACGTTTATGAACAACGATTCAAAAATAAATTATTTTTTAAAACGGAAAATTGTAAAATTTTTTTGTCTAAAAAAAAAGGTTTTTATAATTTCTGACACTCCACAAGGGATCTTACGTCAAAAGAATTTTAGATTATGTTTAGTGATAGTTTTACCTTGCAGGTTTGCCACGGATCAGATAAAAGTCAGTGAATTTTTTTGAAAAGTACTGAAAAAATATCAAAATTTCTAAAAATACTAAAAAAAAATTATAATTTTTGAAACTTTTGCTTCGAAAAATTGTTTTAATATTTTTTATTGAAATCCTTTTAAAATATTTTCACGTGACTCAAGGGAAAAAATTTAGTTAGAATAAGACTCGAAAAAAATTTTTTTTAGAATTTTGATTTAATAGAATCTTATTCTGTATAGAATAGTAATTTTTGCAGAATATCAAATTATGAATTTCGGGCAAATTAATTTTTGTCTGAATGAAAATTCTTTTAAAATTAATTTTCAATATTTTTAATTTTCAAGAATATTAATATTTTCGACAAGTCAATATTCTGTAAAATTTTTTTAAAAGCTTATTCATGCTTTCCAAAATTTAAATTCTGATTGTAAATCAGGGAAAAAGAAAATTTTTCCAACAAACTTGTCTTGATAAAAAATTTTCTTTTTAATTAGATAAAATGAAAATTAGTTTTTACTGAATTTTTCAAATCAGAGACAAACTTAAAAAACATTGTTTTGTATATAAAATTGATTCTCTGTAAATCACAAATCTAAAATTTATTTTTGACATAAGATTTATTTTCGCGTGGTGCGTTAGAAAAAAAAATATATTTTTCCAAAAATCGTTGATCATAAACTTGGTAATATTTCAAAAAAAAAAAAAAATATATTAAAATGAGAAGCAAAAAAATAGTTGACTGGATGTTAGGTGAAGCGACCGAGAACCGGCACGCAAGTATTTTAGTGCCAGCTTTATAATGCGCTACAATTCGATCTTTTTCTCACGTATCTCGGCGTACTCGACAGCTTGAAAGAGAGCTTGTAATCGTGTTTTGCAAAAAAAAAAAAATATATTAGTTAAGAAAAAAAAAAAGTAAATTTAATTCATTTGCTCTGCCTTTCTCTCTCTGTTTCTCTTTTCTCTCTGGCTCTCTCGATCGGATCTCGGTGCGCCTTTTTTTTAAAAAAAAAAAGAGAGAGAAATTTAAAAAAAAAAAAAAAAATACAAGCGAGCCGACGACTCGGACTCGTCGCGGGAGGCAACAGTGTTGAGTGACTTGTCTTGTGTTGATGTTGCAGGTTCAAAAGCCTGGCACATGCGGCTGACCTTTGACCGGGTGCCAGGCGGCTGCAACCTTCACAGGTGCAAGCTGTGCGGCAAGGTCGTGACGCACATCAGGAACCACTACCACGTCCACTTTCCTGGCAGGTTTGAATGTCCTCTCTGTCGTGCCACGTACACGCGTAGCGACAACCTGCGCACACATTTTAAATTCAAACACCCCGAAGCAAGAAAGATCGATCTTAATGATTTTATGGCCGGTTCAATGGCATTGTCCGCCACAAATAACGATACAATGAATACGCTCTCCTAAATAAGGGCCGGCACGCCGGCTCGCTCCCTCGCTCGATTGTGAAAAAAAAAAAAAAAAAAAATCAAAGTCATCTTTATCGCCCTTATCGTCGTCATCGTCTTCGATCTCTCGTTATCGATGACGTCCTTCGTCTTATTTTTTTTCCATCCTTCTGTATTTTTTTAGCCTCGAGCGAGAGTGCGATGCCAAAGAAAATTGGGCCGGTATAATCAAGTTTATAATTAATGAACACCAAATCAATAAGATCTACGCTTAAAAAAAAAAGAGAGATATAGTGAGCGAAAGGATAGTGTCAAGGATATTTATGGACAGCTTTATTTTTTTTCCAATGGCTGTCGAGAGGATGTATAAAAAAAAATTAAAATTGCGGGATTTTACACACAAAAAAAAAAATGGGAGCAAAAACGTGGTGCCAATTCCTCCCGTAGTTGCTGCATAAACAGGAAATATTAATTATTAAGTAACATTAACATATGGAAGTAATTCATCGATGCGCAGGGTGAGTTTAGTTGTTGAAAGTTTATAGTTTTAATTCATATTAGAACCTCTTTTTTTATTTTTGTTCGCCCAATTTTTATAAGAGATGAAACATTGAAAGTAAATTCTCATTTTTATTCTTCAATATTCAATGTTACATTTCTAGAAATGCACGAAAAAAAAATTGACCAATTTTTATTGTCTTTCAAAGGCAATATTTTTTTTTAATTTACAAAAAAATACTTTTTCAAAAAAAGTAATTATAAAAATATTTTTATTCAGAAATTTCATTAAATTGGAATTGATTATTTGTGGCAAAAATTATAAGCGATTAAGATATTGAATTGTTTTTTTTTACAACGGATTTTTAAAATCTTACTATTCTAAATTACACTGAAAAAAGATTTATTTGATTTAAATAATTAACTATTATCAAATAAATAAGTAGTTGTATCAAATAATTATTGAGTCAAATTAAATATATTTGCTTCAAATAATGTGACTAAAATTCGGAACGTTCAAATGAAGAAAAAAATTTGTTTCCACTTTTTTTGACTTCAAATTTTATTATATAATATTACTTTCTGTATAGAAAAATAAATTAATAAATATTTAATCTATTTTTTTATTTTTCATTGCTGCGGTAATTAAAAAAAAAAAAAAATAGATTGAAAAAAAATTTATTCGATTCAAATACTCGATTACTTGACTATTAGCAAATAAAATAATATTTATTTGAATCAAATAATTTTTATTTGAATTAAATAAATTGTAGTTGAACCAATAATTTCTGTATTTAGAACAAATACCATTTAATTGACTCAAATAAATAATTATTTTATACAACTAAATATTTATTTGATACAAAAAAATAATTATTTATAGCAAATAATTATTTATTTGATACAAAAAAATAATTATTTGTAGCAAATAATTATTTATTTGATAATAGTCAAGTTATCGAGTATTTGAATCAAATAAATTTTTTTTCAGTGTATAAACAAAAAAAAAATGATTTCGATCATTTGAACGTTCAGAATTTCAAGCACATCTTCAAATATAAAAATTATTGGTTTAAATACAGTTGATTTAATTCAAATAGACATTATTTTGGTTCAAGTAAATATTTATTTAATAATAGTCAATCGATTATTTGAATCAAATAAATTTTTACAAAATAATTTTTATTTGAACCAATTATTTCTGTAGGAAATTTCTTTCTCTTCTCTTAAAAAGTTAGAATTTAATTTTCTTAAATAATAATTGATACCTACAAATAAATATTTATTAAATAAATATTTATCAAATAAATATTTATTTGATAATAGTCAAGTATCCAATTAATTGAAAAAAAAATAATTGTTTTTTCAATAATGCATTATTCAAAATTGATTTTTTAAAATCGATTTCGTTTTTAAGATGTCGAGTTACAATTTTTTTTTACAAAACAATTTTCATCAATTTTTTAACTCGTTTTTTAAATTAATTTTGTCATTTTTTTTTTCGTGTATATCGAAAGGTACGATCGATTGACAACGAACTCTTATATACAATATGCGTTATTTTATAAATTTTTTATAAAATATACATCGTCTCAACAAATTATTATTCTAATATGAAATTTAACTATGAAACGCGTGTTATTTGTTACATAAACACTTAAAGTCTATATATATAATTACAAAACTGCACACCGCAAATGTAATAAAAAAAAATTAAATAGTGGAAATTATAAGAGACATTCCACGATTGGGACTTAAATATCCAAAATATAAAAACGTACTTTACTAAAAGTACAGTACTCATAAGAATGATTATGATTATGATGATGATGATGATGATGATAATGATGATGGTGATGATGATGATGATGATAAAGATGATGATGATGATGATGAAGATGAGGATGATGATAATGATTTATAGTACTATATTTTATACTTTATATATTCTACAGTTATATTCTACATTGGTTGGAGATAGTTATGTTTAAAGAAAAAAACAATTTTAAAAAGGGATGGTTTACGATATTTTTTTCTCACAACGTCGTTGCACATATGGATAATATACTTCATTGGTTTGGGGTTACAATCCATTTGTTTAAATATTGTTTATTGTGTGTTTTTTTTCTCTCTCTAAGTGGAAATTATATACAATTTTTTTTTTTCATAGATATATATATTTAATTCAAGAACACAAGTTTGCTAGCTATTCAAAGAGCCAAATCACGCTGAATTGTGATCACATGATATTACCGCCTTTTTACGTTTTTTTTTTCATTTCTTTTTACTTCGAAGGAAGGGGCCCTTTGCATAGTTATGACTATCCAAAACAATCTAATAATTTAATAATATATAATCAGAAATATTAATATATACTGATGATTCAGATTCTTATTATTATTATTATTATTATTATTATTATTATAAATATTATTATAATTATTATTATTTTTATTATTATTATTATTATTATTATTTTTATTATATTCTTATTAATATCGAGGTACATATTATATATAATATATTTGGATAATTTATTTTGTTTTACCGTTTTTTCTGATTTTATATATGTGTTGTTACTTGTTTCACCAAGAGGAAAAAAGCACTATGCGCGCATATATTATATTTATTAACTAAATGGAGAATGCAAGTATATCATAGCCCGAGTAGATTCTTTTTGCCAATTTTGTCTCTCTTATTTTCTTTTTTCTGTATTTTTTTTTTTTTTTTTTTTTTTTTATTATTATTATTTAAGAAAACAATGACCTTGGAAAATCTATATTCAATACCCTAGAAACTTACCAAATATGATAGTTCCCATATATTCTTTTTAATATCTGATTTTGCTTTGGACATGTGTTCCAATTGCGTTTCTACCGCTGATTTTAATGAAGTGGTTGAGTTCATGTTCGCGCAGAATCGCACACACATTGGTTCAACGTGAGTTGATTTTAACCACTGCCAATTTCCGGAATTGTCCAGTCAAACGTCAAGCCACGCTGTTTACCACATCCCAGTAAACCTCTATGACAACCGTGCGGCTTTCGTTGATCCTTTGGATAACTCTAATGAATTTCTCTATGTTGAGAAATTGTATATGCTTTTAGTAGTAAATCGAAAAAAAAAAAAATTATTCAAAATTGATTTTTATATTTTTTTTAAAAAAAAGTAAGGTAAACAGGTGGCTTGCTATTAAAATTTAAAAAAAAAATTTTTTATTAAGCGGTAAAAACGCATGCAAGTCAGGAATTCTGTTCAAGCGCAATTAGAATTATTTTTTAATTTTCACGTTTCTCATTTTCATTTTAAGAGTCTAGTGAAAATATTTTTTATTTTTTATTTTTGATTCTCTGAATCAGTCTTTTAAATTGTGCACTTTTTATCAGTCTCTATTTTGCTAGATCCAACAAATGTATAATTACGAGGAGAAAAATGAATTTAAAAAAAAAAGAAATTAATTTCAGTAGGGAAATTTTATTCAAATGATTTTAACATATTTTTTCAGTAAGAATTTTTGAAATATTGAAAAAAAAAATTCAAATACTCTATTACTTGACTATTATCAAAAAAATATTTATACCAAATAATTTTTGAAACCAAATAATTGAACTGTATTTAAACCAATAATTTCTGTATTTGAAATAAATACAATTTAATCAAATAAATATTTATTTAATAATAGTCAATCGAATATTTGAATCAAATAAATTTTTTTCATTAACATTTAAATTTTGTAATTATTTTTATCAGATTGTAATTTTCTTTTAAATGAGATTTTTCTCTAAAATTATTGAACAAAAATTCTGTTTTATTCATTTTAAAATTGGCCGTAATTAAGTTTTAAAATATTTTTCTATTGTTAAATGTTTTTTTAAAAATAAAATTGTACAAAAAGGTTGTTCGGATTAAATGCGTTATTTTTTATTAAAAAACGTGATTTGTAATTATTTCGGTTTTTATAATATTTATAGTTTAGTAATTCATTTTTCTCCCATATAAGAGCCATCATAAATACATCAAAATGTTATATTTTTTGAATGTTACTTTTCGATATATTTATATAATTATAAATTGTAATAACTTTTATTGATGATGTATTTATGATAGTATCGATAATAAAAGAAAATTTCTTTAAATGTTAACCCTTTCCTTGCGAAGATTGATTTACTTTATTATGCTTAAAGATTTTTGAAAAGAAAAATCTTGCTTAATGCTGTGAAGTAGGTTGTGCTGCAAATAATTTCCACTAGTGGTTTCGAAAAATATCTCTCATCTTTTTTTTTAGGTTTTTTTTTTTTTTTTTTTTTTGATAAAGAGAGAAAAGATCTCGTTAAATGGAGTGATAAAATTCAGAAAAAAAATTTACATTCTTTTGTAAATGTTTTATAAAGCTAAACATTATACAAAAATATTTTTTTGTAATTTAAAAAATTTTATTTTAAATTATAAAATTGTCAAATTTATTAAAAAAAAAATTTGTTCACTTTCACACACGCCTAAACTTGCCAAATATTTAAATATTAGTTGACTGCGGAAAAAAATTATGGTTAGAGATTATTTCAATTAAAATAGTAATTTCAATTTTTTGGTAATTATTAAATTTTTTTTTAGTTACTGATGTTTTTTTAAATGTTTTACAAAATTTCTTTTATGTAAATATAAGAAAAAAATTTTCTACAACTTGAATATTATAAAAAAGAATCAGTAAATTTCAATATTTTAATCGTTCATCAGTTTGAAAAAGAGAATAAATTTTTTTTTTTATATTTTTATCGCTCCTGACAATTGAGATGATATTGTGTACCAATTGAACACAGTTTGTGATAATTATAGGAACGTTTTTAACAATTTTGAAATTTTAACTTAATAATAATAATAATGTATGGATTTTCACTTAATATTTATAAATCGCAAAAGAAAGAATTGGCAAGCTCTTTTATAAGGCAAATATACTTGTCATAAGAGTATATTTGAATGAGCGAGTAAATGAGTGGAAAATGTATAGGTAAAGTTGAGAATTTTGAGGGGATGCGAAGAAGCGAGAGAAATTTTTTTTTTTATATAAGAAAGAAAAGGCAGAGAAAGAGGGAGGGAGGAAAGTATAAGGAGGAAGAGAGAAAGAGAGAAATACTCGGCACACAGATTTCACAAAAGTGTAATAACGGCATTGCTCCACACACTGGTGGTGCTGGTCGTCAGGCTGTTAATAATATTGAATTATTTTTTTTTCTTAATTAAAATGATTAATACTACATCAATTATTACATATTGCAAATAATATTATTACAACTATTATTATTACTATTATTATTAATTAACTATTGACTACTATTACTGTACTACTACTACTATTACTACTACCTGCGTATAAGTATTTATATATTTACAATTGCGTGGTGTGGAGTGGAACATTGTGATATAATAGATTGGTGCTAACACCTTATTGAAATTGAGAAGAATTTAAAAATAAAAAAAAAAAAAAAAAATTGTGCAATATCGCGATAGTAATGGAATGAGACGTTATCTTTCAGTGGAATGAGTTGCGTTTGCCTATATATACGAATGATATTAAAATAAAAAAAGAGCGCGAGAGAAATGTCTACTACTGATTGTCTTTTTTATAATATAAATATATAAATATAGTAATTTTGTCAATTGCCAAACTCTAGAATTGAAATATGTATATAATATTTGTTTTTCATTTAAAAAATTACAAATCATTTTTTAAAATTTCTGTGAATTTGTTAGTTAAAATAAGTAAATGTATGTTTACTGTTAATGTGCCTTTTTTTGATTAAAAATAAATTTTTATATGGCACTATCATTATTAGAAAAAATAGTTTTTATATTTACATTTTCTATGTTAAGATACATTTTTTTTTTCGTTTTACAATTATTTTTTTTTGGGAATTTAATAAATCGTTTTTTATCGTTAATTAATAATAATTATAAAATAAATATTATATATAGTAAATATGTAATCTCAAGCTCAATAATCAGATTTTTTTTCACTGTAAAAATATTTAATAATGTTATTCTAAATATAATGTGACGCTCCACGAGAGATGGGGAAATTTTTTTTTTTTTTTTATAGTAACCTTAATAAAAAAAATTTTCTTTTTAGATTAAAATAAAAATTAGTTTTTTTAACTCCAAAAATCACATACATTAAAAATTTTTTTCTAAATTTCTCGTGGAGCGTTGTGTTTTTCAATTTTTATCAAACTTTCGAATGTTTTTTCTTTTTATTTCTGAAAAAAAAATTGTTTTTTCACAACAAAACTTTTTTTTCAAATAAATTTTAACCAACAATTCGCTTTTTTTTCGACCGAATGTAAAATAACATTTTAAGCGACTGAAAAAAAAATAGAAAGAAACGCGATCGAGTGAAGTTAAAAGAAGAAACTATGGCTGTGCAAGAGAACATTATGAGAGTAGTTAGATAGATGTAGGTGTTACCTAGGGAATAGGCTTAGCTGATAGAATAAGAGCATGTTTTTTCAGACGTTTCTTTCTTATACACTTAAAAAAAATATTCCACTGATTGATAACGTTACACTCTTTGTACATTATTAAACTAAATAAATTTAAAAAAAAAAATGTAATATTAATATCTCTTTATATAATGATATATATATATAGCAAATACGGTTTTCATTATGGATATATATGTATATACCTTCTGTATATGTATATATCTATCTTCATATATATATATATATACATATAAAAAAAAATTTTGTTATTTTTGGGTGGGGGGGGGGGGGGAGGGAAGTGTGACGAACAGGAAAAAAGGAAGTTGTATATTTGTCAATAATTGACATTATACAAGGAAATGTAATGGTGTGATTCTTTATGTATTTAAAAAAAAAATTTCATCAGCGGACGTATCAGACTGAAGTTGTGTGATTTATATAAATATGGTATATCAATTATTGCCTATATCTCAATTTGGTACATATTTAAAAATTGTATCATGTACATATACGATAAGTATATGTGTAAATATTAAAAAAAAGTCACTATTACATTTTTCGAAAAAAAAATCATTTTTTTTTTTTTTTTTTTTGAAAATCACGCACACTATTTTCCTTTATATAAAGAACATCTTCCTAATTTGTTCTCTCTTCCCGTTTATATTTAAGTTTTTTTATTACATATATATATATATATATATATATATATATATATATGGTTTTATGTAAAAAGGTTATGACCTAAAAAAATGTTTTATTTTAAAGTTTTTTTAATACTTCTTTCCTCACTTCCAATTTTGGTCTCCTTTCTTTCTTTAAATACAGATACTTATGCGTTTCTTATACGCTGCTCTTAATTTATTGTGTTCCCTAATTGTTATTTTTTTTCCTTTTACTATATATATTATTATTGTTTTTTTTTCTACAGTCACAGAGAATAAACTGCGGCACTATGTATGGTAATAATCGAACTGTTAGAGTCTTATTCATATATACAATATGAATATAACAAAATACGTTTGTACCAAAACATTGTAAAAATAAAAAAAAAAAAAAAAAAAAAAAAAAAAAAGCTGGTGAACTTTATAGGGAATTTATTGTATAAGCGATATGAGATATATATATATATAGAAAAAAAAGGAAAAGAAAAAGAGAAAATGAAAGATCTCTTGATCTATAGTAAATGAATGAAGATTTAAATTGTTATATTAATCGGATATAGTAAGCTCGTGATCACTAAAAAAAAAAAGAAAACAAATTTTTTATGATCAACGAGGATAAAAATATTACAGCCAATTAAAAATTGTTTTTCATACTTCGAAACAAAAAATTTTTTTAAAAAAAAAGAAAATAACTACTACGAAAAGGTTTAAAAATTTTAATCTAATTTTGAATTTATTTTTATTATATTGTCTAACATGAAGGTCTTAATTTTATTATTGCATTATGATTATAATTTGTAAACATTATAATACACTATTTTATTCTTATGTTATTATAGTTTATTATTATTATATTATTATTATATTATTATTATTATTATTATTATTATTATTATTATACACGTGTCTTCTAATGTATAAACATTACATGCTGACAATGAAAAGTTTAAAAAAAAAAATTGCAAGAATTAATCATATGTGCATTTAATGTATTTCGTACTAATTTTTTGATTAAACATAATTGTGTGTTAATCGACTGGCCTTCGCTTTTTTTTCCAGATCACTTTTAAAAATTATGATTTTTTTTTAAATAGAGAGATAGAAAGAGAAAGATGTGTGCAAAATAATGTGAGAAGGAAAAGCGTAAATTTTTTTTTCATTTTTCCAATTGAATTTCAAATATATATGAAATAACGACGATCTTGACGATGTCCCTTTGACGAAACTGATTCTAATACTGATCGCTATTCCTTTGCTTTGCACCATTCTCAAGTTAAAGGCGCAAGCGCCAGTAAAAAGAATTTTTGTGAAAAATTGCCCTGCAACAAGTGACATCGCGACCTGCTTCAATGCCATCAGTATAAATTCACACTTGTATAGAATCGATCGATCTGGCCAGTTAAGCTTATAAAATGGGTTACGCCCGGCCCGCTCTTGACAATTTTCCGTCAAAAATCAAAGATTATTTACTCTAAATATAGATAAAAAAAAATTTTTTTTTTATTTTTTAAATAATGTGCAGAAATATGGGCATTTTTCTTGATTTTTTTATTTACGTAATTATTTTTATGACTTGTAATTAAATTTGAAAATATTTTTGCAACTATAATTTACACTGAATAATTGTCGCATACATTGAATTTCCAAGTTCACTTTATATATATAAACTTTTTGATCTTAAGAAACGGCTTTCAAGAGTATTAGAAACTTTTCTTGTGTGTGTGTGTGTGTGTGTGTGTGTGTGTGCCAGTGATTCTACAAGTTTTAATTACCTGCCTAAAGTTCCTCTTGGTTGCTGAAGCATTCAATTCAATCGTTTTCTTCGATCCAATCAAGCGTGCTTTTAAAGGAATAAATGTATAGACAAATAATTGTCCTAATATTGTAAATTAGTATCTAATATTTTTGTTTTTATTTAAATTATGTATATTTTTCGAATTCAACTAATTTTAATACTTTATAGTGTGGAAATAATATAATATTATTCAGATAGCACGTAAGCTTGCAGAAATCTTGCGACAAGCTTCAAATGTCTCACCTGATCCAAGCTTGCATGGTAAGCTTACTGAAAGATTGCAATGTAAGCTTGCACGGTAAGCTTATAGCAAGGTTGATGTAAGGTTGCCGAATAAGCTTGCTTTAAACCTAACAATTTTTTTGCTACAAGCTTACTGAGCAATCTTGCAGTAACCTTCCATTGCAATATTTCGGTAAGCTTACCATGTAAGCTTGGGTTAGGTGAGACATTTGAAGCTTGCGGCAAGTTTGCCGTGCAAGGTACGCAATATTGCACGGCAAGCTTGTCGCAAGATTACTGCAAGCTTACGTGCTATCTGGGTGCTAATATTAAAATCAGTTTTTGATTATTTTAGACATTAAACATTATGCCAATTTTTGTATTTTCACTTTCAAATTTCAAAACATAACCTATAATTTTTTGTTACGGTCCCTTTTTCGCGACGGCTCTTATATTATTAAAATTCGATTGTAAATTGCATTTTACAAAAAAATAATTTTATAAATTTATTTTAAATGATTTTAAAATGAAATTCCATTAATATACTGCATTAATTTTTTTTCACTTCCTTTTTTTTTGCACTTTATTTGATGTAAATCTTTTTCCTTTGAATAAGTTCAAGAAGACTGGAAGCTAAAGTGAAAGAGCCCTTATTATATTATTTCTTACTCCATGGCTTATATAATTATCACGCTTTCAACGAGTTCATATTACAATTCGAAATGAAGCAAAAAAAAAAAAAAAAAAAAAAAGATGACATTTAAAGAGATAGACTTGGTCGTCCCCGTTTTCTTTCTACTAGAATATTGCGTAGATCAATAAAATTATATATAATATTTTCTCTCTATATAAAGTAGTCTAAAAAAAATATTTTATTATGTATATATTATAGAAAGTAGAATTAGGAGAGCCGCACGCTCAACACCCATGCAAATATTCGTCAAAAAAAAAAACAAAACGGACATATGTTCTTGTTTTTCGTCCATGCTGATTTTTTTTTGTGTGTGGTTTCTGTTGTTACAGACCTGAAAAATTGGCGGATTTCTCAGATTTTTGAGAGACAGAGTAACTCAGACGAGAGGAGGCGATGTTCTTTATGTGGTAAGGTCGTTACCAATGTGAGAAATCATTATTACGTGCACTTTCCCGGAAAATATGCCTGTCCACTTTGTCCCGCCGTTTATACGCGTAGTGATACTCTTCTTACTCATACGCGTATGAAACATGCAAATCTTCAACAACAACAACAATTTTCTCGATCTCAATTTAATTGTAATTTTCCCGTCTAGCAAATGTGAAAAGTCAATTAGTTCTATTTTGATAAAAATTAAACTTTTTTTTTAACTATTAATCAAAATTAATATATATAATTTAAAATTTTTATCATTCTTTAAAAAGGAATGGTAGTTAACATAATCTGAAAACTAAGAAATTGTTTTTATTTAACAAAATTATGATTAAAATTAATTTGCAGTCAATTTTAGAAGTTCTTTTTCAGAAAAACTATGTTATAATAAAAAAAATTTTAATTTTAAAATAATAAAAAAAGATTTTGAATCAAACATCGTTTTTCTGCAAAATTGGTTGCAATTAATTTTAATCATAATTTTGTTTGCGTTAAATTTTTAAAAAACAATTTTTCATTTTTGAGGTTATGTTAACGTGTATCATTCCTCCTTAATAAAAAATATTCAATACATTTTTTCAGTCATATTGTGACAAAAAAATAGAATTTAAATGTACTAGAATTCTAATTTCATATTTTCATCAAAGCCAAAAATTCAATTTATCAATATTTTAATAATTTATTATTTGATATAACCCAGATAGCACGTAAGCTTGCAGCAAACATTGCGGCAAGCTTCAAATGTCCCACCTGACCCAAGCAAGGTTACCGAAATATTGCAGCGTAAGGTTACAAAAGATTGCACAGTAAGCTTGCACGGTAAGTTTGTAGCAAGGTTGGTGCAAGGTTGCCAAATAACCTTGCTTTGTACCTAAAAAAATTTTTTTAAGCGTTATGTCTGATTTATATAATTTTATTCTATAAATTAGACGCAACATTTACAAAAATAATTTTTAGGTTTAACGCATAGTTATTTGGCAACCTTGCACCAACCTTGCTACAAACTTACCGTGCAAGCTTACAGAGCAATCGTGCGATAATCTTATTGTGCAATCTTGCAGTAACCTTACACTGAAATCTTTCGGTAAGCTTACCATGTAAGCTTTCGCTCAGGTAGGACATTTAAAACTTGCAGTAAGCTTGCGACAAGTTTGCCATCCAAAGTTGGAAATATTGCGCGGAAAGCTTGCCGCAAGGTTGCTGCAATCTTACTTAGCTATCTGGAAAGTGTTGTAGAAGATTTAATATCTGTTATTGATTTTCGTTTTCTAAATATTTTTTCAAAGTAGTAAATTATCGTATAAGATTAAATTTATCCCTAATAAAATTTTATATCGAAATTTGGCTGTGACCTTAGAAGGAGTTATTTGTCAAAAAAAATTGAACTATATGAAAGTGTCATTTGACAAATTTTTTAAAAAGAATTCACAAAACTTTAAACGTATGTAAATTTTCTTACTAAGATTCTAAATATTGTGTATTTAAATTAAAAAAAAAAATATTGTTGTTTCATTAGAATTTGGAATATTACATTTTTTAAAAAATCAATAAAATTGTAAGAGAAAAAAAATCTTCAATTAACATTAATTATAAATTGTTGACTAATTAGTTAGTTATTAATTAGTCATTTAAATGTTCAATTAAAAGAAATGTTTGAAAGAAAAATCTGTGGTTATATTAGAATGTAAATCTTCTTTCTCTCTTTCTCTTTCTATTTTCCACTCTCTCGTTTCTAACTCTTCACTTGATTATAATATGAAATTGATAAAAAAAAAATATCGCTCAAAACATAATAATCTTATTTAACTGTCGATGTATTTGCAATAATGTAAAAGAAAATTTTTACCAATAACTGAAAAAAATAGAATAATATTTTTTCCATTACTCTAATCTCATATACATATAATGTCTCTATATAAATATATAATATGAAAGTGAATTGCAGAAACTGTTTATTGGAAAAAAACAGGAGAAAACAATCGATATTGTAAATATCGTCTATAAGAATTTTTTGATCGAGCTTCCGTAATAGACGAGCGTAGACTCTTTAAGACCAGACACTATATATATATATATATATATAATAATGTGTTCTTTTAAAACGAATGCAAAAAAAAAGAGTGCAAATTAAAAGTGTGAGTGTTTGTTTGAATGTCCTGTAAAAAGAATATATAAAAATGAATCAAGTCAAATGATTTTTATTTGCTTAAAATTAAAGGGAAAAAATTATTTGCTGAAAATATTTTTTCTATACAAAATAAAACAATTAAAGAAAAAAAGTGAAATAAAATCATTTGCCTTAATTTTTTTTCTCTTTTTTTTCTTATGCGAGATTTTGAATGAAAAAAAAAATTTTTTACACTTGTTAATGCGTCTCTTCATTATGTGTATAATTAAATATAGTGTAACAATGATAGAGAGCATATATATATATACGAAAAACATCAATGAGAGTCTATGTTTGGGGGAGATTTTCATTCCTATACTTTTTATATATGTAATAACTACGTCCGATCTAGAAAGGC